CCATGCAAATATAAGAAGTTTATATTTGCACAAGATGAGGGTACATAAATCCACACAAATATAACATGTACATATTTACACAAGATAAGATTACAAGTGCTCTACACAAATATGACATGTGCATATTTGCGCAAAATGAGATTGCAAGAGTTCCACGCAAATATGACATGTGCATATTTGCGCAAATATGATATGTGCATATTTGTGCAAGATGAGATTGCAAGAGTTCCACGCAAATATGACATGTGCATATTTGCGCAAATATGATATGTGCATATTTGTGCAAGATGAGATTGCAAGAGTTCCACACAAATATGCACATGTCATATTTGCGCAAAATGAGATTGCAAAAGTTCCACGCAAATATGACATGTGGATATTTGCGCAAATATGAGGTTGCAAGTGTTCCACACAAATATGACATTTGGATATTTGCGCAAATATGCACATGTCATATTTGTGCAAGATGAGATTGCAAGTGTTCCACACAAATATGACATGTGGATATTTGCGCAAATATGAGGTTGCAAGTGTTCCACACAAATATGACATTTGGATATTTGCGCAAATATGCACATGTCATATTTGTGCAAGATGAGATTGCAAGTGTTCCACACAAATATGACATGTGGATATTTGCGCAAATATGATATGTGGATATTTGCGCAAATATGCACATGTCATATTTGTGCAAGATGAGGTTGCAAGTGTTCCACACAAATATGACATGTGGATATTTGCGCAAATATGCACATGTCATATTTGTGCAAGATGAGGTTGCAAGTGTTCCACACAAATATGACATCTGCATATTTGCGCAAATATGCACATATCATATTTGCGCAAATATGCAGATGTCATATTTGTGTGGAACACTTGCAATCTCATTTTGCACAAATATGACATTTGGATATTTGCGCAAATATGCACATATCATATTTGCGCAAATATGCAGATGTCATATTTGTGTGGAACACTTGCAACCTCATCTTGCACAAATATGACATTTGGATATTTGCGCAAATATGATATGTGCATATTTGCGCAAATATGCACATGTCATATTTGTGCAAGATGAGATTGCAAGTGTTCCACACAAATATGACATCTGCATATTTGCGCAAATATCCACATGTCATATTTGCGCAAAATGAGGGCCTTTGATATACCATAACGCAAGCTTAACCTAAAGGTAGTTACAAAATTATGGTTAGAATGAATGTGAGGCGAAAGAGAGGATCGAACAGTGCGGGTTCGATTTTGCGTAAGATAAGGAAGTTCTTGAGTAACGCTGCGTGCGGGAATTGAGCGTCCGATTTCAAAGTAAGATACTGAATGAAACTGACCTAACGCACGAGCCGAGGTTTCAAAGATGTTTGGAAAAGATGGACAGATCTTAAAAGGACGAAGCGAATGGGACCGAGGCATGCACAATCAGCAAAGGCACATAAATCAAACAGTAAAACATGAGATACTCATATCGGTCAGGGTCTTGTGAGGGCGTTTAAATTCGGACTCATATGATTTTGAACACGAACATCTACATATGATACAAGGATGCGTCTGGGTCGGAAGCTTAAGGGAGGAGAACCAACGTCACAGGACCGGACTAATAGTTTGATTTTAGACCATAGCAAGGGATAGATAGCACATCTACATGCGTTCATTTTGAATTTTACGTTCGACAGGTCAGACGAAGGATGGCAGTAAGCGACGATGAAAGTTACGATTGCGCAAGCGAGCGAGCGACGACTCAGACAGAATAAAACATTGAACGTATTCGAAAACATGACGACCGGACAGCAAGGCGGACGAACGTACAGGAAGCAACGTAAAAAGCAAGAGACAACGAGAAGAACAGCACACAGACAAGACAAGAAACAAGAAACAAGAAACAAGAAACAAGAAACAAGAAACAAGAAACAAGAAACAAGAAACAAGAACCGTAAGGAAAGGCTATTTAGTACAAAGTGCGAAATGAAAGAAAAGCATGAAAAAACGGAATACTAAACGCCCGGGATGACAGTTCCTTCCTCCTCATCATCCTCATCATCTTCGACGGTGACTTTGGACTTCTTCTTCTGCTGTCTGCCACGTCCATGCATGGAAGATGAAGAAGAAGCGCCTGATCGATTGATTTGATTGATTGATGTTGAAGGGTTGGAAGGCTATGAGCGAATCATATAAAAGACAAAGTCAAGACACAGACTGACCAGTTGCAGCACGAGAACGTTTAGTAGGAGCAGCAACGACACCGCGAGGTTCTAAGTGGGTTAGGTTATCACCAGCACCAATCAACGAGGAGACGGACACGCACCCTTGGTACGAGGGGGCAAGGACTTTTGAGTCAACGGCTGAGTTGGGACGTACGCTGCAAGATGAAGATGAGATAGACTGAGTCGCCGCGGTGGGAACAGATGCAACGGCGGACTTACTTGCATCACGAGGGTCGTCAAAATCTGACACGCGACTAGTGCTACGCGAATCTTCGTCTCCATTTTCGTCCTCGCTGCTGCTGGAACGATCTTGCATGTCGTGGTCTCCGTCGTCTTCTCCGGCGTTTGGATCATACCAACTGGTATCATCCGTCCCAAAGCCATGGGGAAGACCAGACGGGGATGGAGTGAGGGATGGGACGGTACCAGTGAGAATGCCAGCTAGCAATAAAATGAGATACAAACAAACGGAGGAGAATATACACGAAACACACCAGGATCTTTGTTGGTTTCCTCCGATGGAACCGTTGCCACGGCGGAAGACGGAGGAGGAACTAGTTGAAACACACCATATCAGCCAAGTGTTTAGAAAACGAATATAAGACAAATACCTGGTGCATTGTCCGCGGATGCAACTGTTCCGTGTGCGGAAGCCTCGGGAGCAACTATACGATCATCAGAAAACGAAACTGATGTACATATCAATAGCAAAAGAGGGACATACCTATTGAACCAGCCGTGGGTAAGACGGTGGCATGTGCGGGAGCTTGGTCAGTCTCAGTGTTACCAGAAGGTCCATCCGAAGACGAAGTCTGTTCGGTGAGAGTGAGCACGGGTGGACGTGGAGTGACCGATTCTGTGTGTGATTTCATCGATAAAATATTGGTGAATGTGCGACGATGAAATAATGAGAGACAAACGTACCATCATCATTAGTTTGAACATCGCGACCCACAGAGTTGAGTGAATCGTCGATGATTTCGATATTGTCGTCCAAGGCATGCGGGGATGGTTGACGTTGTTTGCGAGGGACGGGACGAGGTTTGGGCTTACCAGCCGAAGTCTTGAGTGTCTTGGACTGAGGAACGGGGGTCTGCGTGTCAACAGGAGGATCGTCGACGTGATGAACGGGAGGAGACTCAGAGCGTGCAGGTGCATTTGTTGGCTCTTTGTCTTGCTCCGGGACAGGAGGACCCTCGACGTCAACTGCTCGACTCTTCCCTTTCTTATTCTTCTTCTTCGGAGCAGGCTCCTTCTCCAATGGTTCGTCTTCTTCGCCATCTGCCGATGCCTGCAATATAATGTGTGTGAGAATAAAGTTAGAGGGATGAATATATCGGATGTGTTTTATGAGACATATGAAAAGATGACACGACGTACCATGGTGAATGGGTCTTCGTACGACTCTGGTATGTCGATACCAAGGGCAACTTTGTGTACATCTACTTCGAAAGGCTTGGTAGGGTCATTGTTGAGAATACGGTAACGAAGTCTTGCACAATTGAGCTCTATTCCCTGTGTAATGAAACAATCAGCTCAATCATTCTCCGCAGATACAACAGTGGCATCCGCGGCCATGTAGATATGTGCCCTGTTTTATGCCAAGTACTCTCTGGTGTAGAGGTTACATGGTATAAAATGGAAGACACATACGCATGCGCCGCGGATAGAACAGTGTCATCCGCGGCAATGTATATACGTGCCCCGTTTTATTCCAAGTACCTTCAAGTGTAGAGGTTACATGGAACAAAACAGAACACACATACACATGAGCCGCACATAGACCCGTGGCCACGGCGGACGAAGACTTACTTTAATGACTTCTACCAAGGGACGTGCGACATCAGCGGACAGCAGCGAGTGTGGGCTGGTACCGGAGCGAACGCACGACATGCTCATCACATGACTCACGAATTTGTTGAGAGCATCACGGTCTTTGTCCTCAAGAAGAAGACGGTCACGCGTCTGTTGCTGCTCGACGACGGCCTTGCCTTCGATGGTCTTGAGGACTTCCTTGGGGTCCAGCTGGGACTCGCCAAGCTTTAGTCCATCCCACCAAACCCATTCCTGTACGTGTTTCAACTGTCCCGCCTCACCTAATATTTGTACCTTTTCAAGGCGAGAAGACAGTGCCTGCTCGATCAGCCGACGAAGCGCCCCGACATACTTGTCACGCAAGAGCTTCGGACGGTACTTCGATATGTACATGCAGTTCGACGGCAATTGCCTTTACGCAGGGCTCGATGTCTCTGGGACCGTTTTTGAGCGCCGGGCTCAGCCAATCCCAACCGGTCGTGTGCAGGGCCATCATGCCTGCAATGACGTGGGCTTCCATAGCCAAGTTACGGTTTTTGGGACCGTTCTTCGTCCTTTTCGAGACAAGAAATTTGCCGAGTGCCTCACTCGCGAGGGTCTCAGCCTCAGGTAACTTGAAGTATTCGGCCTCGACTTCTTTCTTCTCTTTCGGTCTTGGCGGAAGCTTGTGCTTGTCGTTCACGATACAGTTGTTCAACCGCATCATCAAGGTACGTCTGTGAGTCCAAATAATTTTGGTGACCTGCAGGAGCTAACATCAACGTCTTCGAATACACATGCCAACGATGTAGGTGCTGACCTCTCTGGGGTTGTTATGTCCGTGGTCAGCGAATCGCGGATCTTTCGCGATGTTCGCTAACATCACGCTCGACCAATCGTCCATCGTGTGGGTCTTGGGGTGCAACGGACGATAATAGTCGATGAGCGCCTCGAACCATCGACAGACCTTCGAATGAATTTATGTGTAGGTGAGCGAGTCGCTTCGCACGTCCTGAACACAGGGAAGCTTACCTCTCCGATACCTTCCTCTATCTTCGTGAACGACGCCCAAGCGTATGTCATCATGAAGCCTCCCAGCAACGGCTCTGGAGCTTCTGTTTTGCCTTCTTGAGGCGTGAGGTGAAGCGCAACGCGTGCGACGATGCTGTCAAGGTGCGTTAAAATTTGATTATTCTTGATATTGGCGTTGGACGTTAGATGCCACGTGTCCCGCAGCGTTTTGATGACTTTGGACCGATAGGAACTTAAATGCATGATGTACTTCGGCGACATCTCTCCAATCTGGTCCTTTATTTCGCTAAACGCGTCGTTCGCGTGTTTGTCCATGGCCTCGAGGACTTGGGCCCATATGGCCATGTCGCAGCCATTGCTGCCTTTCTTCATGGACTCACGTAACTGCCTTCGTTTGTTTCTTAGCCTCCTCGTTTCCTCCTTCGGCTTTGTCAAGCAGCTTCATCACGGTCTCGTAACTCGCAAATTCATCTTCCGAGCCTAATTTCCTCAAAGTGCCCAGGCGGATTTCACACCAGGACATATATATCTTCGCACGAATGTAAGTAATGCTAACATTCTCGACATTGAAAATTGAACTTACTCCAATGCAAACATCGATGGACTTTGATAGCCATGTCACCGAAAACTCCTGTCGATGTCTGACGTGCCGTCCCAATGTCAGGAGTCGCGTAGCGAGAAACATACACAGTCTGTCGTGATGCAGGACCTTCTGCAGACGTGAGTTTTTGTCTGCCGTGGCGCGAATCTCACTAAGCATGTTTGTCGCCAGGGTATCGCGTTTGTTCTCAGGCGATGTGTCGTACACGACCTTGATCTTTTTCAACGCCCTGACGAGCGACTCCTCATCCGTCTCCTTGTATTCGTGCAAGGTACTATTCCTACTCAGATGGTTGGCCAACTCATCCCCATCCGCAAGCAATTTGCCTGTCAACAAGTTCGTCAATATTAAGTATCATCATTCTGATAACGTCGCCGTAGGAACGGTTCCAACGGCGGGTGAAACAGGTTGTTCAGGTATGGTCCGCGCTCAGAACGGTGGCATGCGCGGACGTGATCACGGTACTTGTCTTATATTCGACACTTGATGTCGTATCTGATCTACATCCATTTCCCAGAATACGATCGATCGTATATCAAGGATACAACCAACTGCCCATGACCCGCGCATGGAACAGTTCCATGCGCGGACATACGTCACGGTCAGTGCATTGCGTTGACAACATATGTCCCGCTGACGTTCGATACACGTTCGCTTACGCACACCGTTGGAACTCGTGGAACATCAGATCAGTGCTCACCTTGATCGTACACGATCACCCCCCACTGGCCGATGTTGTGGAGGATATCAAGTATGTCGCATTGTTGTGCCCGGTACTCGTTGTGCTGCTGAACGTTTTCTGGCGTTAGTTTCGACATGCCCATGATCTTGTTTCGCTTCTTGTCGAACATTTCGACTTCGTCGCGCAAGGACTGCGTGTATCGCTTGAGTGCCGAAAGACGATGCTGGCCCGACGCGACAACGATATGATTCTTGTCCTTCATCTTCAGTTCGCTAACCTTCTCCGGTTCGTCGAAATTCTTCAACAGTGAGTCCTTGTTCTCTACGCGTTTCATATCCACGATGATTGGGATTGCTGCCGTGTCTTTCATCGGTGTGATACCCAACGTCTTGAAGGACGTAACTAATTTGTTCGTTTCCTCGTCTTTTTCAGGTCGATCGTTGTACACCCCGAATTTCAGGGTGTCTGCGATATCCAGCAAATTCACCCATGCAACGCCAGCTTTGCATTTCGCAACCTGTGCGTCCAATTTCTGCGTCTCTTTCCCGATGTCTTTCTTCTGACCAGTAGGTTCTATCGGCCTTTGATCCAGGTGCAGGTGCGATCCACCTTCGTCCTGATGCGCGTTAGTATCTCCTTCGTGAGTCTGTCTTTTCACTTTTCAACGTCAGATACTCACTCCTCCTGACGCTGCTTTCTTTCCTCCACCTTTCGTTTTCCTGGGAGGCATTTAGATCGACAAAATGGTCACAATGTAGGGGCAACACGAAGGTAAGTAACTAACAGTTAAAAATTTTCGCTATCCGACTCCCAGAATTTCTATTTACCCTGTACCCTCCGCCCTCCGCCCTGTGCCTCTGCCTCATGTTCTCTTGAGGTCCGCGAGCATCACGTGGTATGGTCACGTGATGTTCAAATTAGTATACACGTAGTCGATAGAGTATTGACAATATTATATCTTTATGTATATATGCTAAGTATGTACTATAGAGTAATAACCTCCGCAGATGGAACAGTGCCAAGTGCGGAAGTTTACGATACTTGGTTTATACAACCTATATAAAATACAATATATAATGACGATGTACATTTATATTTTGGTACATTATATACCATCAAGTTATGGCTTCCGCAGATGGAACAGTGCCGAGTGCGGAAGTTTACTATCAGTAGTCTATACAATGTATATAAAATAGATATAAAGATATAGATGACAATTACAATTACATCATTATATCTATTTTATATACATTGTATAGACTACTGATAGTAAACTTCCGCACTCGGCACTGTTCCATCTGCGGAAGCCATAACTTGATGGTATATAATGTACTAAAATATAAATGTCATTGTCATTATATATTGTATATAGGTTGTATAAACTAAGTATCGTAAACTTCCGCACTTGGCACTGTTCCATCTGCGGAGGTTATTACTCTATAGTATATAGGTTGTATAAACTAAGTATCGTAAACTTCCGCACTTGGCACTGTTCCATCTGCGGAGGTTTACAATACATATATGATTGCATCTCATTGTACGTGCATTGGTGTGATTCATTTGATTTACTTAAGTCAGTACGCCATTGAAACTGTTGCGAACGCGGATGTCAAAGTATATAATCATATATATATAATATTGTTCATATGTTTACCCCATAGGAGGGATACAGTAGGTTACTTACATGTCTATCAATGATATATTGGGTGGTTATAGTGGTCAGTTTGTGTGATATATGAAATGGTTATCTTTACACTTGATATATGATATATATGCTGCATTTCTTAATGATACATTGCCAAAATCAATTTGACAGGCTTGCCTTTTTTGTTTTTCAGGGCCAGGGGGCTAACATAACCATATATTTAACCGAACCCATTTACAAATATCCTATATAATATTTGATCTATCAAGTCTTGTTCTAAGCGTGCTCAAGTCCACTGCTTTCGCTTATGTAAGCAGTGTCACCCCTGTCATGCTGCCTCACCCAATGATTGATTTTTTCAGCCTCCATTTGACTTGCCTGGCTTCGAATAGAACTCGATTCAGAGGTTATTGACCAATCTGAATCTGATGGCAATGCTTATTTCGTCCGAAAAAATCATGTTTCAGAGTCATGGTACCCCCTCCCCCCACCTACTCCACCAAGAAGCATGATTTTATGTCAATACAGATGTGCTAAGGGATGTTCCTAGTGTTTAATGATGATACAAATAGATTATAGATGGATTCAGAGTGTTCTGAACCAATATGGAATGTGATGTGTGAGTTTGCCTGGTACCCCCCCTCAAAGATCGATTTTTCTAGGCTTCACATGACTTGTCAGCACTTCAAAAGTATCCTTCCTGGGGGTTCTTGATGCTTCTGAACACGATGGTAAAGCCAGATTTGTCAGAAAAAATCAGGTTATTGAGATATGTAGGGTCCCCCTCCCCCCTCCTAACTCATATATCTTGGTATTATATAAATACCGGTATATAAATAAGTGTTCCTACTGTTTTAAGAGCATATAAAACGATTGGAAATGGTCCCAGAGTGTTTTGGGCCCATCCTGATTAAGATATGCGAGTTTTCATGGTACCCCCCTCAAAGATCGATTTTTCTAGGCTTCCCATGACTTGCTTGTGCTCTAGGAGTATTTTTCCGGGGTGCTCTTGATGTCCCTGAACAAGATGGTGAAGCCCAATATGTCAGGAAAAATCAGGTTGTTGAGATACAGAAGGTCCTCCCCCCCCCCTCCTACCCCATATATTTTACAACACTCACATTTCACTCAAAACCGATACTGAAAATGGTTGTCCCAGTGTTTTTAAAGCATAGAAATCGATTGGTGATGGTCCCAGGGTCTCTGGAGGTCAGCATTGTTGACCTTGGCTGGTGGGATGAAAAACTCAGTATTTTGACATTATCTACAGATCCCAACCGCCGATTTCTTTTATTCCGGGCTCATATTAATCCTTGGGCATCCCTCTAAAATATGTACCAGCCCAAGAAGAGAAAAAAATTTCAAACTTTGAAACCTATTTCTGTTTTGACCATATAAGTGTGGAGGTTGTGTGCAGAGATTATGATGTGAGATGGAGAGATATAGAGAATGAAGAGGAACTGAAGAGAAAAGCTGATGAAGCTAATAAGCAACAGGTAGTAGTAACTATTCTGTCATGACCTCTCCTGATGATGATATGTCGTTGTTTTTTTTTCAGCTGCGAGCTGAAGGTCTCGCACAAGGTCTCGCAGGGCAAGACCAAATCAAGGCAGAATTGGAGGCAGAGCGAGTCCGATTTGAGGCAGAACGAGTCCGAGTTCAGGCAGAACGAGAGGCTGAACGGGTCCGAGCCGAGGCTGAACATATTCGAATGCAAACAGAAATTACTGAATTGCGAGCTACGCTAGCAGCGCTCAGCGAAAGTACTAGATAGATGTACGTCAGTTTCTTTGTCCGATTCCTCGTCTTCATCAAACAAATCTGTGTTGACAGTTTCTTCGTCCGATTCCAATCTGTGTTGAACTTGTAAGCAGCACCCTCCAAGTTCTTTGCATCTTCAAGCTCAGCGCTCGTCATCCGACTCTGACTGACTTCCTATACACGGGTAGATGCTGATCGGAATGCTAGGATCGAGACTACTGTGCGCTTCACAAATCATTCGCTACAATGTTCTTGTATTTTATTTATTTATGATGCGCATGATGGTCGTTCTCAGGCTCGAATTCATTGCAGGCGAAAGCAAGCTCAATGTTCTTGGTACACAGTACTGGAAACGTCCCCTTCCTGACGAGGATAAACAATCAAGATGCACCATAGACACGCAAATACTTACTAGTCTACAGCGAGCCGTAAGCGGTCATGAGACGTAAGACTCGAGCTTGAAAGTTTGTTGGAGGTGTGATGCTCGCTTGATGTCTCGGTAGGGCTTGAAACTGTGAAGACAAATGTCGGACGCATGTAGGCAGTGCAGTCAGTTATGACAGGTTGGGAGCATTTTTGTTGAACCGGTAATGGCGAACTGCCTCGTGTCTCGGGCGTCTATGGAAACAAGGAAGATTAGCGCGGTGAAGTAACATAAAAACGTACAATACGCACACCTCTGCGGCTTAGAGAAAGACACCCACAATCCCTCGGCCGTACTCAACACCATCAACCTCCAGTAAAATGTCACAGCTCATTCCAAGCACCACACCCATTCAAACTTTTGAAGATCATGAGAGGGGCATAACCGCCGTCGCAGTGTTCCCCGACAAACGACGAATGATTACTGGCTCGGACGACAAGACACTTCGTCTTTAGGACTTGGAGACAGGTGTTGTGTTGAAGAAGATGGAAGGCCATAGCGGGGAGGTGCGGGCATTGGCGATACCGCGAGATGGTAAAATAATAGGGTACTACTAGCTTAGCCCAATTCCGAAGTAAAAAATGTTGTGTTGTACAAGGATATCGAGCAGCAGATACCTTCGTTCGCGGTATGCCCAATATACACGAATAATGGTGAGTACCATGACCTCTGTGGCAACAGAGTGAGCACTCGACTACATTTATGGCTTCGTGATCTCACCAAGCTCGAATGCTGCCATAAGTGACCAATTATATGCAGCCTTCGTGTCGTGGTATAATGAGTAGCAACCGCCACCTATGTCTGATAGTTGGACTGTCATCGACCTACACTGAGCGATTTACATGCGGCTCTTCTTCAAGACACTCACATTTCGACTGGTTCCAAAACTTCAGTGTTATTACCACGTTCAAGATCCCCAGGCACTGAAGTGAAGTATGTCAGAGTACATAATGTGGGAACGCAACTGTATGCGCACCAGTACCGTTGTTAACATAAGGCCCAGAATGGATTTCTTTTGTCCCCCATAATGCATAGGTACGAAGGATGAAGATACCTGGAGATCCTGTCAGTATTCTGCGTGAGTACACTATAAACATTGTAATACCTTCTGCACCAGCCATGCACAATGCAACAGTACCTGGGGGACGAACTTGAAGCGGGACTGGAAAATTCCATTGTTACAATACTTACAATACCACGCTGACTGTAGAATTTTACAAGTCTACATCGGCGAATCCTCAGGATCGCAGGTGACATTGTTTCCGACTAATACTCACCACAAATTTTTCATTCGGGAAATAGTTCGCTTCAGTATCCTAATTAGCTACATGTTGATGATGGAGCATGCGATCTGGACTCACTGCATAAGTATACAGAGAGCATCAAGGCTGGCATGTATCTCGCCATGATATAAAGAATACTTCCTTTGCTCCACGGTGGCCGATGAATCAAAGATACCTATACACAACAATCAGCCTGTCGATAGACATGCTATCATATCTCGCAAAGATGAAATCACCTCCTGGTCCAAGGTTAGGAAACAATCGTAGACCTGTGACGAAATGTTTATGAATGACGACTGAACGAACGGCAAGAGCACCCACCCAAGAGGCCACTAGTGATGCTAGCGCGAACCCTGTTAGCTATGAGATATTATTATGGTCGAAATGACAGCACCGAAAAAATACTGCCAGTGCCAAGATTATAGATGAGTGAAACGAAGATGTCAATAAATATCAGTCACTTACATCCTGGGACTGGAGGATGGTTGAGAGATGAATGAAGGTATGTGATTCCATGTTTAAGAGAGAGTCGAACGAAGGCATCAGTATCGAGCACGGCGCCGTGCCTGGTAGGCAGAATATATAACAATTCCAATCAGGGTCAAGCGTGACTAGTTGACTCATCAGGCCTGCCTTTAGCAACAGCACCATGATACAGTAACATGCCAATCAAGGGCCGACCAGTCAAACATATTTGACTGCTTCAAGGCACCTCAGCACGATAGAACGCAGAGTATCAAACGTGTCACGGACCTTATAAGTACTCAGGGCCTCAGCACCTCGCGAATGACACCGTAAATCTCAAATCCTGTGGGTCGATTTCCTATCATTCCACGTAATATGTTACTAATAAGCAGAAAGTTCATAACAACCAACGGCATGCTCACCTGACCAAAAAAAAATCCAGGTATATGTAGAGCGCCTAGAAGTGATGTTTCATACAACTAGAATAGAAGATGGTTTCTGGACGGGAGCAGGGAGCGTGGGATTATGAATGCGAAGGCGCGCGGGGGAGTGGGGCCCTGATCTTGTAGTGAGGAGGTGAAGGAAAAAACTATATGCCCCCATAATGTTTCAACTCATATAGATAAGTTGGGGATGTACTCCATGTATGCATCCCTGAAGTTCAAAGCAGCGTCAAACATAGGTGCTGTAATACTGTTAATCAACGGATGCTCATCACGCTGTATTTCATGCAGTTGGTCCAGGAGCTTCCGATGATGCGAGTGGAGCTCAGCAAAATTTGTAGAAGACGTCGGTGATAAAACCGTTCAGTCTCTCACGACCAATGACTGGAGGATCACTTTTTCGCAGGGCCTGGACGTAGATCTGTGGTGGCAAGAATGAGCTATGATGTTCAGATCGAGTACTTGCAAAGGACAACACACCAAGTCGATATTTTCTAGGTCCCTGACGTACGCCATCTCACCTTTGATAAGTTCAAATATGATGCTGCACAACGTTGAGCATTTCATAACAACTCAAAAAAGGACAAATGTACGACTGGCGCTTAGCCTCAGCCTTGCTGAGGCTCTCTGGAACGTCCTTGGCTACGATATCGTGCCACTCCCATTTCCCAGTCGGACCTTTGCCCATCGCAGTCTGGAACGTCTGGAGCTGTGCAACATTCTGAAGATTCCTGATGGCTTCAATGGCTTCTGCATGGTAGTATGCGTCTGGGTTGCCTTCAGTTGTCTCTTTCATGATCGCCTCTGTTGTTGTAATTGAGAGGGCGTTTCCTGGAAGGGCTGATTCTCTGGTGGGAAGTGGTGGGCGGAAAAGGGTGGGCGGCTGTGAGAACTGGGTGTTTAAGCTTGCACTCGCCACTTGGTCGATGGACGGTAGAGAACTGGACGTTGATGTTGGAGAGCTGGGTGTTCGTCGACGGGGGAGCGGAGGTACAGGGCATGTGTCTTCAGACCCAGAGGAACAACTTCCGAGTCCTTTGTGGAACCGCTTTGTGGGACTTAGGCTGCGCGTCCTGCTGCTCATGGAGGAACCGGATGACGTCGTCTTTGGCACCTGTAGAACACGCTCACGATCCAGCTGTTCTTCAACGCGCTTCATGTTCTGACCATGCTTGGGCAACCAAGGGTGCTGGTTTTCGAGGAGGAAACGGTGGGATTTTACCATCCTTTGGCCTTTCGGGCGATTTCTGAGGAGGGTCTGTCCCATTTGCTTTGTTGCGCATCAAGAACGGATTATGGCTGATCTTCTGTGGTAGACGGGAGGGTATAACGGGAGGGGAGTCAGATTGACCGGGAACAGAGTGCTGTGTACCAGACTCGAGTGATTAACGAAAGGGATTTATGTCTGGAGAGGAAGAGTTTGAAGATGTGGCATGTTGTTTGGGTCGGTCTGGATGAAGAGGCGGAGCGTGGACTTGACGCTTGGAGGGAGATGTTGATCTTGAGCGTTCAAGAACTTCTGGGATTGGGTGGGCTGCAAGACATTCCGGTCAGTACTGGCTGAAGGGTGAGGAGGTAATGCATACCTTGGACAAACGCGAGAGTTCTATCAACGCGTTTACCTGACACAGCGCGAAGGACAAGCCTGAGCACAGCAAAAAACTGGCCACCGGTGAGACAATTGATCTGTGTGGAGCAAGTTTGGATAGAAGATCTGGGCGGAACGCATACAGTTAGGACATGAAGAAGGCGTGGAAATGGCCGAACCTTCAAGTGTCAATATCTGTAGTTGGTAGATCATGAGGATATCTGCCTCGTACATCACTGAACCGATGAACTTATTAATGTCATGGTAGACTATATTTATTTGGTAGGGCGGGTGCACCCCTGCAAGCGTCACCCCATCTAACTAGCGCTGAGGCTGTGCCCACTGCTTGCCATGTTCAGAAGAGATATAAGCTCATTGTGCATTAGTACTGTCCTATGAACAGGGTAATATATATGGCATAGAGATACCAGTGACGACAACACCGGAGGGCTATCATATGGTGAGGAAGGTGCCAAGAGAAACAACGGAAAAGAAGCTCGGAGATTAATCCTCCAAGACGTTGTAGCATGCGTCCGACTGTCAACAACTGTCAACAAGCTCTTCTGTCAGTGCTAACCGTTTCAACTCAAAGGGACCATAGCTAACAACTCGGATAGGTAGTCTTCTTGTCCAAGGGGCGAGGTGCTAAGGGTTACTGGCAACATCCCATCGTTGCACAGATTCAAAGTCCAAATTGTCTCGAGGCTGTCCGCTCCCGTGTTTCTTCTTAGACTGTGTTGGAACATATTGATGCTCGTCGACCATGTGTCTGTGTCTACGTGCAGGATCCTTGAACCACATCCCACAATTATACCGGCATGCGTGCGGCGTAGATCCAGTGCTGATGAGTTGAGTGAGTTGAGGACCGGGCATTGATAAAATGCCACTTACTGTCCGTGCATGTGAGTATCAAGTGAAGTTTTCTGGGGGAAACCTTTGCCGCAGACACCGCATACGAATGGCCTTGAAATGGGCGAGATTAGCTAGCGAAGGAAGCTCGTGAATGACCGTGTTGCTTACTTATAACACAAATGAGTCGTTTCAATGTGACGTTTGACTAGCTGCTTCTTAGACATGTATTTACATTGTCCGCCTGACTCTGTCGACCAGGTGCACAACCATTTCCGTGTCGTACCATCCAGAGTAAAACAGGCGTACTTCTCCCACTCCTCTGATTCTGCCTTCGGTGGTATTGTTGGGCGGGTTCTAACGTGTGATTGATCACTGGATTCACCAGCGCTAGGACTGTCCTTGCGTTTGCGGTGACGATCCGATTGAGATCTGTGCAATGATGGGCTACTGATCATTTCAGGAGGAGTAGGCGTTCGCTGGTAAGGCCTGGAGGACACAGGAGGCCAGCTACGATCAACTTCAATGTTTACATGTCTGCAGGTGCGTTAAGCGCGAGGTTGCAAATAACCCCAAATTATGTACCTCAGCGGCTCCATGATCTTCATAACAGAGGATGCACGGTAAGGAGAGCTAATGAAATAAGGGTGTCTTCAGCAGAAGAGACGCGGGGAATTAAAAAAACCACACACTGTTCACTTGATGATGAGCTTCTTCGTATTTTGGGCGGCAAATTTGAGGTGGGGATGCTGAAGTCAGATAGTGCCGGGGAGCTGCAAAAGCGACTGCATTTTAACACCCTATTTCATATTTTTTCTGATTGAAAACGTACGGCATGCGAGAAGATTCACGCAAGCTAGAGATAGAGCTTGACGATGACGACCGCATGAAATTTTGACCGATGTAGAGGGGCCGTGGATAGGGTATCTGGGATTCGGGTTCATACCGTTCCCAAGTGTACGTTGCTGTCGGTGCATTGAAAACCGATAAGGAGACGGGTCGCTGTTGCCGACTGTCGTGGTAGGTCTCCATGCACCTTTTGAAAGCGATTAGTACTTCGCCAAATGGTACTGAACTTCCATACCTAAGCTCCACATCCTGTCCCGGTGAGTTATCCACCTTTGTGTATTGAGAAGGTAAAGGACGGATATCTCGATCATATGTTCTTCCGCGAGAGGGAGGTGGCAAGGTGTATGAGCTGCTCCTTCCAAAGAAAATTGGGAAAATGAACAACCAAATGGGAAGATGAAGGCAGTATATACCTCCTTCGCTCCAATTGTCCCTGAGAAGTTGACGGATGGCCATGCGGGTTCGGTTGTTTGCTGAGGCTATCACTATAAAGTATGACGATGGGTGAAGGCACATCATGGAAGAGACCCACTCTTCGATTTCAAGTCCAGTTATACATATGGCTAGCGGGTTTTAGTGAGGCGGACTAATGGGTGAATCCAAAACTAATAAATACATTCAAACACTTCAATAACCCTTGGGCGATCCTTCGGATTCCAAGACCAACATTTTTGAATCAAGTCCCAATGATTGTCTAGGATATTGTCGGGACGCGCAGGGTTGGCTTTGTTCGACAGCTCAACGTAGATATGATGCGGTTGCTTCTTTTTCCATGGCCTCTCCCCGGAGATCACCTAAAAGGAGAAAGCTTAGGTTGAAGTTCATGAAAGATAATGAGATCGCACAAAAAACATGATACCACCGAAAGAATAGATGTCACTCATGAAATTCGGTCGTTCAGGGTCAAGATCGGGATCGATTCCAATGACTTCGGGCGCACGCCATCGAGGATCCAAGCTGCGGCTCGCGGTCGTTATGGACAACTGCAACTCTGCATCTCCTACGACTGTTGCGAGACCAAAATCTATCAGGCGCGGATTTCCTGAACAATCTATAAGCACATTTGCCTGAACTTAACAATCAGTCAAAAATCCGCACAGAGACAACCATACATACGGGATGAAGGTCTCCGTGAACGACGTTCTCCGAGTGCACTTATGTAAACATCAAGAACAAAAATAATGACTTAATAGAAATCGACGAACGATATTGGAGGCCATCGGCAACGCCCTTGGCCTAGTTGCATAAAGTCAGTAAACAATTTTTGATCATGATTGGTATGAGCAGGGGACTCGCCAATCCAACTTTAGCGGAAGCTGTAAGTATTGTAGCTTCCTCAAGGTAAACATATAATGTCCCAGATGGCATCCATTTGGAAACGAGAGCCGGAAATGGGGATTCGATCATGGCGGTGCCAAGTAGCGGCACAATAGTTCTGTGTTTCAGTCTAAACCACACCAGGAGTTCCCGACGCATTGCCTACATATATCATGGAATTCGGAAGGATGATCACAATTCAGTTAGGTAACTGACCTTTTCATTTTTCTCTATAGCTCTCCCAAGATCAACCTTGAACACCTTCACCGCGACCTGATTGATGACCGATAAGCTTGGGCAAATTGGTGACTTGGTGACTTGGTCAGACAGACCTCTGTTGTGCCTTCGCTGGTCTCGATAGTACACCGATGAACTACGCCGAAGGATCCAGATACACATAAAGATGCGAGCTTTAACTTCTCAGAAATCTGAGATGTGAGATCGGCAGGCATATTGCTGTAAAACGATGAAGAGATGGTCAAGCACATTATGGGAGAAGACCCACTCTTCGGGCGCAAGTCTTGACATGGGTTGGACTATTACTTTTACAGGTGATGCGTCAGGAGTTAGCAAGTGCCACAGCAGACTATACAATTTCGCGATGTAATCTTTTTAAGCTCATGCGGCGAGGCACTGAGGTTCGTCAGAAAGCCTGCAAACAGCCACGTTTGCAGAACATTCTCTGAGAAGGTGTCGTAACAGATGCTAGTTCGGCTACGGCCCACTCCGATTTGGCGTTGTCCTCCACCTCAGCGCTCAGACAGCAGTTTTCGGGGGCAAAAGGTAGGCTTTCAGGCCGGGTTCCTAGGTTATGAGAAACCAGTCTGAAAGGCCCGTGATAATATCATACCTCGTTGCCCTCCCCCGGGCTGCTTGCGTGTTTCACCTCCAGGATGCCTGGACACCCTCACGCTCGCACTGCCCTAACTTCTTCGGGTCGATATCAACCCTCAAGTATCATACGGTCAGCACCAGCAACTTTCCAGATCGTGGCATCAGTCTATTACTCAAATTTTCCATAGCCTGATATGCTTAGCATCAACACCATCGAATTCATGCTTTATTCTTTTCCTTGATCAAATCTTTCAGGTTAGGATGGTTATGATATAGAACCCAATTTCTTCCATAGAATGCATCAAGTGCGCACAATAATGGATCCTTCGTTTGCCTCTCACATCGTTCATTATAGTATTCCCAGCCACGACCTCAGCGCCCTGGACGTCTCAAAAGACTCAGGCTCACTATGACGAGAACGCCTTGCTCAGCTCCTCCACTTCCACCTGCGCCACCTACCACCACACCACCGGCTGCCACTCTTACCACAATCACAACTCAACTAGGAAACTTACTCTCCTGGCGGCCTGAGACAGGGCTTAGAGTGCTGCCATATTGGCTCCCAACCGTACTTCAGACTTATACTGGTGCCGGGTCATGCAGCCTGCCGGAATGTCCCGGCACCATGGGTCCAGCTGAGCGGCTGCGCCGATTCTCTCCTTCATTCGTTTGTCGTTCCATCCACACTGTCGAGTTCGTCGTTCTCTACACCTCCTCACTCGTTCCTTCAAGTTCTTCGAATCCCGCCCACCACTCCCTTTATCTTAATATCCGTTAGTTTAATGCGCCACACACCATAGTTCCCTCTTTCTTTACCGAAATGTCGTCATATTAGCAGATCCTTTCATCACATATTTCATCGAATAAACTCTTATAAGTCCTTGACATGTTCGAATTCGTGAGCAGGTATCCCGCCCTCCCAGCGGCTCCACCTGCTCGCGTACCACCCCGAGCTAACGCTCGGCCCAGCCCAACCTGTTAGAACATGTCAGCGACACTAGAGCTAGACGAAGCTGGACGCTCAAGTCTCCAATGGAGACCTCGAAACGAGCATCTTTTCCGATACCCTCGAGCGGGAGAGGCTTTCTGTGCGATCTGCCGTAAGATACAGATATCTCTCTGTGATTGCCACCGACTGTGTCCTTTAGCGTTCTTTCAATAGAATGTATCTCCTCCATTCTTACAATACGCCACATAGTATAGATCGCTGGATTCATTACGCCGTACACAATACAATTATCTCGAACGTGACATGGAAAGGAGGAACGTCCGTATCACTTACCCATTCCCGACATCTAAGGCTCGCTCTCAAATCACAATCCTCCTCCAGTTAGTATATACTCAATCGCCGAATGCACGTTTCCGCCAGTTGCAAGGAGTGCCCTGACATTCTGCGATGCATTCGTGAATCCCATATCTTGTAGTTGCTATTTCCCAAATATAAATCCAAGCAAGAGCAAAAAGCACATTAGATCACTAGCCACACACAGCACACAAGACGCACCTGCAACTGCACCTGGAAGCGTTCTTCGGGTGGCCGCGAATCTGCGGGTGCAGCAGGAGGCGCACCGAAGCCCGCGAATCCGCCTTGACCACCGCCACCTCCAAAGGCTGTTTGCATTTGTGCGAGAGCCGCGGGGTTGAACATGCCGAACGGATTAGCGCCTGCGCCTGCATCAGTCCCCGCGCCTGCTGGTGGGACAGGAGGGAAAAATGCTGCGAAGGGATTTGGGGCTGGTTGGCTGCCTGTAGGGGAGGTGGAGGGGTTGGAGGAGGGAGACGATGCAGGTGCTGTAGATGGAGTACCTGGTGCCGGGAATGCGGCACTGCCACCTGCGCCGGGGAAGCCGAATGCTCCACCGAATGGACTGGCGCCTGTACCCCCACCTGCACCTTGGAATGCTGCCGCCATCTGTAGCATCGAGCGGAGAGATTCAGGATTTGATCTAATTCGGATCAGCGTGCATTTCTAGGGGTAGTGGTATACAAAACGACGCACATCATCTCCCTGAATCTCTCGCTCTGGAAGACTTCGCGGACTTGAGGGGCAATAGCAGCGAGCTGAGGGTTGCTCGCAATAATTTGGTCGAGAACAGCGGGATTGCTCATGACGCCGCTCATCTGCTGGAGGAATTGGGGATTCTGCATCATTGATTGCATCATGTTAGGATCGTTGGGGTTCAGACCCATTTCTGCAAATGGGTTGAAACTGTTGAGGGCACCGTAGCCGAGGTGAGAGTTGAGCTGTGTCAATGGGTCGTGGGGATTCTGGCCGGCTTGCATTGTGGGGAGGGGCGGGACTGGGACAGAGGAGGTCTGAGAGCCAGATATGTTTGAGCGAGCGACGCCCTTGACCATGTGGATGGTGTGCGACGTCTGGATTTTATATGTTGAAAGAACATCTTCATCCTGTGCAAGAAATTATCAGTGATCATGAGAGGCATGTGCAATGATATATACCTTCAATACTCGGCCTTGTAGATACAATATTACTTGAATAAAGGAAACCTTGCCAAATGCATTAACACGCACCAGAGTATATAAGCCTCTGCCGATCAGCCTCTACATCAGACTTCTCTGCGATAGCACGTTTGAGGTCGAGCACAGTCTTGTCAGTACTGATTGTGATTTGCAGCTTGAGCTCGCTCGGTCCTAGTTCTGGTCAATATGTTTTGCAATCATATATTGTGAATAAATCGCACCCTTGACATTTATCTGAATTTCCTGTGGCGTTGAGCTCATGATGGAGGAGGATAAGCGTTGTGTGGGTGCACTGGCACAAGTAGTAACATCATCAAATCTGCTTACTACAGCGCGGGAAGACTCCAGAACCCTCCCGTTTGTTCGGCGACTCGCTCTCATTTCTAAATTCTGATTCACCCTAGCCAAGCTGGATCTTCTGCTTTGAAGAGATCGCTCATTATTTCTCGTATGTATCCATAAAATCTATGTATGCTAATTTTATTTTCAGGTGTTCTTGAATCTTGATTACAAGACAACGCCGGTGGGCCACGCAGGGTACGGCACGCAGGTCGCTGCCTTCCGTGGTTACCAGTTGTACGGACGTATAAATGGTTTACATGCATTATCTCGACATCTTTTTATTTTCTTATCCCTGACACAGAATGACCCCTCAGTTCAGTGAGCACTGTTTCACCGCTGTCTCCCACTCTGGTACTCCAGTTGGCCGCCGGCTATCAGGAGAAGATCGCTAATATACAGACACATGTATCTAAGCCCACAAACACATCCAAGTCCAACGGCGCCATCCTCTAGTCTTCGATCCTTTGTTCATCAACAACCAGCTCATCATGGACTATTATATTTATCATGGTGTGCTTCCGTGCAGCAAGTGTAATCATGATTCATCATATGATTTCCCGTTTTGACCCGTCTACAGGGTTCACAGTGCTCAACTTTTACCACTTCTTTGGAGAACCTATCCATGATTGCATGGATATACCAGGCTTCGACAGGCCGGCATGGATAGAAAGGGCGTTTAGTAACGCTGACACCCATACCCGCCCATGGGCTAACGCTGTCGTGAAGAAATACGGTATGGCAACCTCTTCTCAAACTCACTATTTACCTTTCAACTCCCCGTAGGCTCAGGCATGAAATACTGTGCTGTTGGTACACCTGCTTGTTATTGTCTTGCCGTCGTTCCATACCTCTTTTTAGGCTTTTGCTTTGGCGGACCGCAGGTGTTCGATCTTGCCAAGGAAGGTAGCTTAATTATCTGTGGTGCGCGTGTTCTAGCATCATGCCAATATGTATGCGTGATATCATATAGATGCAATCGCTGACCCTGCTATCACCGAGGATCTGACGGAGATCGACGAATGTCCTGTCCGTCCCTTCTCTTTTTCCCAAGATCTGCATATTGACCCGTCCGATCGACTGGTCCTAATGCTCTTTTCCTGCGCTGAAACTAATCACACATTCCCCAAAGAGACACGTCGAAAGGTTGAAAACAGGCTCGTTGAGCAAAAGAAGACTTACCACTTCCATATTTTCAGCGGTGAGTCACGAATTTGCGATCAGATGCGATCAGAACGTGGGCAATGCGCGTCAGTGGTGTTTTTTCCAACCTTTCCATTCCGGTTCTTGTTCTGACGCACAGTTTTCTACTTTCTCCTCTACTCTTGTCCATAGTCTTCTTATTAACATGATCCTCCAAGACGGGTCAAGGAAGAGTGTCAGCGTGGCATGGTCGCATGGTTCAAACGTTTCACAACTTAAATAATCAACGAATCCCAGGACGACGAGCGTGGCATACTACGGTGCGGTATAACGGTACTCATATAGGTATTTTGTCCTTCAACGTTTCAACCTCGCTTCTCACCTCCAAGCTCTTTGCAATTTGAATAGATAATCCACCGTGGCACTTTGGGTTAACGACTCGGATTCTGTCCTGGCTTGCCGAATCCCCTAGTACTGGTGGCCAGACACAAAAACGAAGCGTCGGACTGCAAATTCAGCAAGCTTATTCACTCTCAAGCCAATCGACTCCGCGAGTATACTTCCTTCCACGTCAATACATGTGGGCATGGGCCTTCAGGTTGTCAGTCCATCAAAGTGGGACTGAACTTCTGAATAACTCGAAAACGGGCTGGGATTCCAAAAGTAGAAGTTAGGAGAGTTGGGATTACTGCAACTGTACCTACAAATCTGCAACGTAGGCGGGCATATTTCTCATTACGACTCAATATTTGACCACGTAACGGAAAAAATAATTGCAGGAGAAAACGTTAAAAGCACAATGCAACAACAATACAAGAAGCGTGTGAATTCTTGAAATGGTTGCCCTGCATTCTCGTAAATCCTTTCAAATTCATCAAGGCCCCATATTGTTCCACATTGTCACACGTCCCTGTATGCATATTTCCCCGAGTCTTGGCGCCCCTAGGTGGCACCAGCTGGCACCGGTAAAGGTACCGTACACCCTGGTTAAACACGGCAAATTCGGTTGTCATAATTGAATCGGTGCCCCACCATTTGCGAATGCAATGTTGGGGCCACTTGATTTACTGCATAACGGTAGGTACACATACATGCATGGGCGTCAGTATTTGATACCACTTAATCTCCAATCGTTCGGTATTATGATGTTTTGCATTTGCAGGCGATCAGACCGGAGTCACCGATCATCGATCATCATCCGCGGGCAGTCTAAGAGTCGGAAGCTCAGAGGAACAAATGTGATGATTACGATACGTTCCTGATGAGTCCGAGTCGAACGACTCGGATTCACGTTCCACTCCGTGGGCTCTCATCGCCGTATGTGAAAGGTTTGTTCCAATCTCCATGGGAGCAGTCTCTAGAAGCTTTCATCCATCACACGACAGATTAGTGGCTGTACTAGTATAGTACACAGTACGGATAAAATGATTGCCATCACATTCAGAATCGGTTCTGTCTTTCTCCATGCAGGACCTCCAACTCCTACAGCCTTCTATCGAAAACACGTTTGGAGCACTTTTTATCGGGGTCACTCTTGCGGCATTGTCAGTAAAATATTTGCTCACTATGCAGTCAAGACTAAACGTTGATTATGGTCGTAACATATCTCACGGAACAGCCTCTGGGGTATAAGCAATATTCAAACGTTTTTCTACTTTCAGACGCATAGAGGCACAGGAATAACATTCTTTAAAGTGGTTGTACGTCTTTGTTATCTTGTCTGTTCTTGTCCTGACACTATGTCAGGTCATTTTATTTTGGTAGATATCCTTTCGAGTTACAATGGTCGAACACTATAAACGTTCACTAGGATACTTGATGCTCTGCACCTGGTCTTCATTGTCCATTGCATCCATTATTACTTAGTGACAAATCACGCAAGAATGGGTGCGCTCTCAAACATTGTATGGAGTTTTAAAGTGAGTTTTCGAATTTCCTTCTCCTCTGTGCACATGTCACCATCTACTATGATACTGATAGACTCGTGCAGCTTCAGGTCATATGTTATGTGAGTTGTATTTCCTAGGCTCTGTGAGTCGCCTCAGACACACACCCCACAGGCTCTCATCACAAAGGGTGTACAAGCGTGAGTCCGATTTGCATAGAGTTCTACGCAATGTTCGTCATATTTATTTGTCCAGTCTGTATGTCCACCGCCTATGGATAGGTATTTGTCCTCCGGTCAACATTCTGCTATGACTAATGCGGTAAACATAGTCAGCAAGGGCCGATCGAGAGCTCTCTTTATAATATTAATGATGGTGGGTTTATAATCAATGCTCATGTACTATAGTAATTCATTCTGCATATGATCATAATCACTCCTAGTGCATAACCGTGGCCCTCGCTTTAGGTGAGGATGTCATCTGCAAACTCTCTTCGTGAAATCTCGAACATGAAGATCTTTTTAGGTGTTGACATCGGTGAGGGTTTTAGCGTACTAGTCATGGTGCTGCTGCCGTCGACTCATCATCTCCACTTTGACCCAGTCCTTGTTTGGGTATTGTGAGTGAACCATCTGCTCGATTTCTCGCGAGGTGCTAACCGTGATTAGGTATCAGTGCCATCAGTTTTCAGACTTGATTAGAGTAGAGTGGGCGGCATACGCGGCTTTGGGCACGGTTACTTTTGTCGATATCCTTATTGCATCATTGATGTGGTATTTCCTCGCTACCTCCCGCACTGGGTTCTCTAGGTAACGAACGACCCATTGACTGTCAGGATCTGGTATATTGACGTTGAGTTTTAAGGACGGATTCCTTCATCAACAAGCTTATGGCTTACACCGTTAATACTGGCTGTATCACGAGGTATTCCGTCCATCCAGACTATACTATACCTTGATTGACGTTTTGCGCAGTATAGGTTCAGTGGCAATTATAGTCACAGTAAGGTCTAAATAATCTTATTGTCGACCTCGTCTCTGAGGGTCGTTTGCAGTGCGCAGCGATGCCAAACAACTTTATCTATCTTGGCGTTGCATTTTTAGTAGCTAAATGTATGACCACGCATTCTCTGAGGACGGTGCTGACTACTACCATTTCAAGTATATGTCGGCTCGTTTCTCGCACTCCTGAATATGCGATACTACTTGCAGGGCAATGCGAACAATATCGATTCCGTCAACACGCACCGTGCGCGCCAATTCCTCTACCGACCGGAGCCGCACATTAGGGTGCCACAAGTGGAGGAGGAACTCCAGGCCTCCCAGGAGAACATATGTAAACATGACGATGAAACGGATTTCACTCGTCCTGTACAGATTGACAAGGTTTGTGGTTAATTTATCGAATTTCGAGGAAGAGGACTAAATGACACCCTTTAGCCACAGCCTCCACCGATTGCCATCACAGTTGAGATAAGTTCTTTCTCGTCAGCTTAATAGGTTGTCATGCATGTATATCGTCCGCCTGTCTCTTATAGACTTTTGAGGCCACGGATTATAACATCGATTACTACCTCTGTGCATTCTGATGTACTGCATGGTTAAACCCAGGGTTAGGCTCTCCAAATACCTTCAACATCGAGGTTCGGAGCCGAACACATTCTCCTTGTGCCAGATAAGCTCAGAACCCTATAATCTCGTAAGGTATTTAGTGGCCGCCGAAGCTGGTTGAATAAGACAGACGGTAGCCTATATATCCAGATATATATTAAACTAGAAAGATTATTATGCTAATGTATGCGCTTTTGAGTTATCAGCCAAGAAGGATGTAGTATCATTTTGTCTGTATATGTCGTGCAAAGACTGCATAGGATATTGCTGCGAGTTTCTGTGTTCTAATCCACTTCCCCCTCCAAGAACAGTTGAGATGTAATCTCGATTGTGTTGATTAATCGTCATGCGAATGAACACCATGTAGAAGGCAATCGAGATGATCGGGACGTTCTAGTTGATTTCAGCTTAGTGATATCGATAACAAATGTTAACAGCCGAATTACCAAGTCTGCCATAACATACAGTCCGTTGTTCGAGAGGACGAAACATATTATCGAGGAGCAGAGCGCTGCAGAGTACAAAATAGCAGCGTCTAGGAACACGCGCAATAAAGGCATCTTCCTATCGGTAGCGCGGATTCCGGAGACCTTGCGTTCGCTCTTCCAGATACGATAAGCTAACAGCCCTAACATCAGGGGCAATGAGACCCAACATCGCGCATACGCAGAAGTCTGCTTACCTGAACTAAGTAAATTTGTTGCAAGTGTCAAGGCCATGAACGTCGCGACCGAATGTCCAATCTTGTTGGTGAAGACATTGTTACTCGACGCTTGCGAAAAGTCATAGAGCGTAACAACACCGAACGCTTCCAGGTAACATCAGAGCACATCACTTCGAAAGTATGATTGCAACAAACCTGCGATACCACACCACGTCATGCAAGGTATAATAATAATCCATACAGATTGCCATACAATGTAACATCGATAGATCTTTTGACCGAGGAGGATTTCTATAAGCCGCGGGTTTCAAGCTTGCAGATTAAAATTTGAACCCACCACCACACCGTCGCCAAGCAGGGTTTGTAAGACGAGTATCGCATCCTTGACTGCAAGCGTTTCTTCAGAAATGTCTGCAAAAAAAGCCGCTGGGCCGCCTGGGAACGTGTCACGATACTTCACTAGTCCATCTTCAACACGAATGATGCCTACGACCATGTGCTTGGGAAGCTTCAGCGAATGTCACTGGACGCAAGCGGCGAGACACTAACCACGGTACTCAGTAAGAACAGTAGAGTGGCAACTACAACAGCTGGCCGATTGATGTTGCGTGTACGACATTTGTAGGTGATTATCCAGATGGTACCCAAAAACATGAGGACTGAAAAGCCTAAAGAACGCTAGCTTGGTGGACATGAGACAGGAAAACTCATTGCAATACACACCATATAAAATGCCTTCTAGCACTGACGACATGATGACAGCGGTATCCAGCGGGATACCTGGTGAAGCGGCCATGACGCAAATACCAATGCCTAGGAATGCACGACGCTGTGGACACTAGTTAGACGTTATATCCAAGTATTCGGCTCAAGCTTGAGACTCAGGGATCAGTTAATTGCGACGCACCTTACTGCAGGTTCATCCTCGGCATTCTGAAAAAATAGAAGCTACTTGAAACACCAAGCGACACAAGCGCCGTTAGTAAATTACATATTTCTTGGCCTGTTTCACTGCTTGCCGCCGGGTAAATTCCCCAAAAGTATTGGTCATAAGAATGGTGACACCAACTTGCCGTCAACTTCAAGTTCAACGTTGTCAAGTATAAGTTGAAAAAGTAGGTGCCTCCTAACTTGACTAGCCTTATTTTGGCGTTTTTTTGGCAATTATCGTACTCGTCGGTGAAATGGCCTACAATGCAAGTAGTGTAAGTAACGGCAACGGTGGAGATACTTTGTCGAGAAATTGACGCTTCAGCTCTTCAAGAAGTCACGTGATATCGCGCGGAATTCAGGGGTGGGCGAGCGTGCGTTGGTTGAGTTTGTGCCTGCGGCTGGCCCTGAACGAAATTTAAAGGGCTGTAAAGTGTCATCTTGGCAGTGTGACCAGTACTAGCAAAAACGCCCACATCAAAACATAGTATCAGCTTTTGCATGGGACGCCGACGCTGCGCGGCGTGGGACACAAGCTCGAAAGGAAACCACATGATTTGCCCACTTGACGCCTGAAGGCCTCATCTCCTTGCCAAGAACCATGTCGTCCACACTCGCAGGCCCATTGACAGATCATTGTTTTACTTCGGTCGCACACAGTGGCACACCCAAGGGTGAAAGCATTACCATCGCTGGCGTACCGACATACCTATCTACTCCGCAAGCTTCCGCTGCGTCCGCAGTAGACACTGTCATCCTATACTTCTCGGATGTCTTTGGGCCATTCTATATCAATGCTCAACTGGTTCAAGATTACTACGCTTCCCAGGGTATGTTTCTGTGTGCATAGTTTCTTGGTGTGCGTATTGATTGGGGAGGCAGGTTTCACCGTGGTTGGAATAGATTACTTTTTTGGTGATCCTGTTCATCTGCATCTCAACAAGCCTGGGTTTGATCGCCCAACGTGGAGAACAAAGTCTGTCGAGCAAGCGAAGGCTAGCGTCCCAAAGTGGGTGGATGGTGTCAAGGAAATGTTTGGTACGATCCTTCCCAGCATACGTGGCATACCCAAATACTAAGCAGCGATATAAAGGAACGAATGTGAAATACTGTGCCGTCGGTAAGTAGGTCGGCTCTTATGAGATTGCTACCTTCATACTGGATCAAGGTTTCTGTTTTGGCGCGCCCTATGTCTTTCAGGTTGCAGCTACTGATATGCTATCGTGTGGTATGTGACGTGTCGTTCTATCTTTGGTGTCTGTATGCGAAATCATCTACTAGCCGCTGTGGCCCATCCTACGAGCTTGACCGAGGAGCTTCTGAGGGCCAGCAAAGGCAGGTTCCGTGTTATACTTTTCAACAACAGCATTGACCAAGCCATACAATCAGTGCCCTTGTTGTTCTCTTGTGCAGGTATAGACGCGTCTTCCGGTCCTCTGAAGTGTCCTTCACTCATGCCACCCCATAGAAACGGACTCTGCATTCCCAGCGACGTTCCGACGACAAGTTGAAGACATCCTTGTGGAGAAGAAGGCCACATACTATTTTCAGATATTCAGCGGTGTATCGCACGGCTTTGGAACAAGGGGAGATCCAGAAGTCGAGACTGAAAGTCAGTGTTTGTCGCCTTTTTCAGTGATATGAATTTTCAATACTCTTGCTTCTGACAGGATGGGCGAAGGAAGAATGCCAACGTGGGATGGTAGGATGGTTCAAACGCTTTGCGAGTAGCAAGTGATCTATGCTGTTATTTTGAAATCACAGACTGTCTCAATAAATTGTACTCATATTGTGACCTTACTCTGGATTGTTTCAAATGGACAGACCTTATTTGCTTTCCGTGAACTCTCGAAGGTTGGAGCTAGCTATAATTATAATGAAGTCATTTGCTGAAATACATCCACATCGAACATACGGACATCCGAGATCCCGAGTTGTCCACATGGCTCTGGAGGTCGGGTGATCACAAAGGTCATCATGTGTCGTTCATAGCCCAAGCTTGCTCTTCTACTCCGAAGATATAAAAGTCGCACGAAGTTCATCTCTACGCAGAATATCGATAATGTCCCCCACACTCGCCTCTGCCCCTGGTAGTTGCTGCTTCACCGGTGTAAAACACACAGGCACACCCGTTGGCCGCGTTGAGGACCTCGGTGGAATCCCAACATACATCTCCGATCCTCCTGCTGCCACACAGAAAGTGATACTCTTCCTAGCAGACGTTTGGAGTCCGCTTTACCTTAACAATAAGTTGATCCAAGATTATTTCGCGTCCTGTGGTGCGTCCTGTTGTCAACATTGTACATTGTGAACCGATAATGAGATTTCAATGGAACAAGGCTATATCGTCCTTGGACCTGATTATTTCTTTGGCGACTCCGTGCCGAACCACGATGGCCCAGATCGCCAGGCGTGGATCGACAGTTCCCGCAAACCTGCTATCGATGCGTTCCCCGCTTGGCTAGATGCTGTGAAAGAAAAATATGGTATGTTGGTTTGTTTCCGGTCGCTTCTGAGTCACCCAAATGTGTACAGGGAGGGAGAATACCAAATACTGTGCTGTCGGTACGTCGATACAAGAATCGCGCCAAACGACGCTGAATTCGTGTAATCAGGGTACTGCTTTGGAGCCCCGTTCGTCATGGACTTATGTTCTGATGGATCTGTAGTTGCTGGTAAGTGTTTCGACAGCTTTCAAGAAGGATGCCCACGTGAGAACTGCAGGAGCACTGGCTCACCCCGCATTCCTCGATGAAGATCACTTTGAGAAACTTGACGGTACGCTTCTTATACTTGACATCATCCAGCTGCCTTAACAAAATTCAAATCATTGCATCAACACAGGACCTCTCCTTCTCTCCTGCGCAGGTAAAAGTGTCTTCTTACAGATGTTCACGATGGCCGTTAAGCTGATTCCCAATACTATTATTCTTTCATGTAGAGGAAGACCACACATTCCCGCTGGCCTCGCGTCGACGTGCAGAAGACATCATGGTCGCTCGCAAATCCACGTATCATTTCCAGGTGTTTTCAGGCGTCAAACATGGGTTTGCTGTACGGTGTGATCTTGCTATTGACACGCAACGTGAGTGGCCTGGTTTCATTTCTTACACATTGAAATTAGCAAGGCACTGAATGAATGCCGATGCAGGCTGGGCGAAGGAGGAGAGCGCTAGGGGAATCGTGAGTTGGTTTGATAGGTTTACGGTCTAGGTTGGTTACGATGTGCACGTTTGTTGGGAGAATGAATTTTCATATCATGGGTAACATTGAAAGCTCTAATCATATCCGTCTTGTGCATCCGTGGAATTACATAAGGCGGAGTTACTATCAAACCAAAGCAAAACAATCCGTGTCACCGACTCACCGGTCATAGACTCGGCCATTGACTCTCGATCATGGATCCATATATCTGCGGAAATTGCTTGATTCCGCATTGTTCGCCTCCTTGGAGCTGAAAATAGGATAAGCAACCTGAATTCAGCTGGTTGTTTATGTATGCTCGCAGCAGAAAATACATACTCCTGGATCAGCATCATCCATCATGTTTCAAGAACACCCCTAACAGTGCCCCAAACCCTATATCAATACGTACTTGTGCTTCGAGGGAAGCAGCGATAAGAGGCTATTCGTTTGATGTAGCTGATCTAGGGTCTCGTCACGTTCTGTCAGAATTCGAGAACTACATCGAGAAAGGCGCCCCCCACAGCAATCTCGGCAAACTGCAAATTGAGCTGGTAAAGCTACTGACGCTGTTGTAGATCCCCTGGACATCACCACTATGGCTTCCAAATCCACCACAGGCCTGCCGTTGGACTCTGCCAATATAATGTCAACAGTACTAGAAGGTATTTTATACGGCGAGTACCATGAGTTCTTACGTTGCATGCCTATCAACCTAGCGTTCTTTTTTCAGGCTTTTCAGTCCTCATGTTCATAGGTACCATCTGGACATTTACTTACAAACAACGCATCCGAGACATCAATCAGCCAAGCACCGTGGTTGCCACCTTGCTGTTTGTACTCAGTACTGTGGTTAGCTTCTTACCACTCTCATCCAACTTCATTCACTAAAGTCTCCCTAGCACATGATCGTAGGTATTATTCGTCTCGAAGATGGACTGGTGAAGTATGGCAATACCTTCCATGATGGGCCAGCAGGGTTCTTCGCAGATGTGACCCAACAAACATTTGTGACAAAGAATACGATAATCACTTTACAAACCTTGCTTGGTGACGGAGTGGTGGTGCGTTCAAGTTTTTTTTGCCTGCAAGCTTGAAACCCCAGTGACTTACACGAATCCCAAAAAGATCTATCGATGTTACGTCGTCTGGCGATCTGTGTGGATCATCATCCTACCATGCATGATGTGGTGCGGTGTCGCAGGTTATTTGCAATCATACACAAAAATTTGGATGCTCTGACGTGTGTTGTTTCGAAGCGTTCGGTATTTGTATGGTCTATGTGCAAGCACCGACTACCAATGCCAAAAATGTCTTCGGAAACCAAACTGGACATTGGATCACGGCGTTCCTTTCCTTGACGCTTGCAACTAATTTGCTCAGTTCAGGTAAGTTCACTTCTGCGTAAGCGCCATGCTGAGGTCTATGATATTAATGACATGAATATATACAGGATTGTTGGCATATCGCATCTGGACGATCGAACGCAATGTCTCTGGAGCTTACGCTACGAAGAATAATATGCCTATATTGCGGGTACTCGTAGACGCCGCACTTTTATACTCTGCAGCGTTTTGCGCCTCGCTGGTATGTTTCGCCATATCGAACAACGGGTTTTATGTTTTAGGAGACCTGGTGTGTTATTTCGCTGATCAGAGCTTTGATCAACCACGTAGATCGTTCCCATCATCTCGATTGCTTTCTACATGGTGTTTATCCGCGTCGCAATCAGCAAGAAGATCCACGAATGCCTCTCGGCTACTCTTTGTTGAGGAACAAATGAATCAGACCGAAGAATCTCTTCGAGATGCCCTGTGCAGCCTTCGATGCAGATTGGAATGATATTTTCCTGATCAACAGAGACAGGCTAAAAATAGATGCAACCTTGTCTACCCCGGTAGTCTAAGAATTTCTTCTAATAGTATCGCTTTATCCTCCCGCTTGAGGACGGCGGTCACTTCACTGAGGAACAGAGACCTTGACCGTTTACTTGAAGTAGGGACATCGCGAATTTAAATGACCACTTGTTGAAACGACTGGTTGGTCGACTCGTGTTACACATCCTTAAACGCGAGAAACACGCGGTATATTTGTTAATAGTATGTAAAGAATGGAAGTAGCTATTGAAATTGAATAGCTGTATGTACGTCAGTACACCGGAACGATCGCGCACGAGGCATAGCAGAAATGAGCGAAACTGGTAAGTCAAGAACGTGCAGCCAGCACCTCGGCAGCTGCATGATTAAAATCGTCAGGGTAAATAGGAAAGCAAGAACTTGAGACAGTATATCAGAGCAGGTGTATCAGCGCAAGAAATTTTGCAAGAAACTAGTCCATCTATCGCTGCTCGCTCGTTCATATTCTCTCGGCGTAGGGCGACTTCACCGCCAGTGAATCGTACCTGCCTTGAGAAAGTGCATATGTTGTGCCTGTCCCGTTCGCAACGCCGGAGGCGTACGTCGTAGAATCAAGGTGCCGAGACCGCGCTAAGATATCGGACGCGATTTCGGTGCCGTATTGTTCCGCCAGTTGGCTGTGGTGAGAATATTAATACATACATGCGGGGATAGATAGGAAATAACCCACTTGGCATAATTATCCATAATGACAGCCATACTTGCCATGCTGAGCCTATAGGCCTTGGGCATCATGCCTTTACCGAAGCGGTAGGTTACGTGGTTTGAGCACAAGAGCCCCGCGAGCATGATTACGAGCTGGAGCGGCACCAGGGAGAAAGCGATAGTGTACCAGAAGTCCAAGGCATGTTTCTCAAAGTTGACGTATGCCTGTTTGCACCCCGGAAGGACGGAGCGGGCGTAACAGCTTTGGGAGACAGTAGCTTCGACGAAGGGGGAGTAATACCCACAACAATGGAGCCTGTTTTGGATCCTGAGACGGCCGGCTGCACCGAGATCGCGAGACCACTGGGAATTTAGCTTGCCTTCGAGGTTGAATGTACGTTGTTTGTAGGTCATGTAGCCAGGGGTGACAAGGAGGGCAAAGCAAAGCCAGAGAGTGAAAGTGTAAACTGCTAGGAAAGAGCGGTTATTGAGGAGGATGCCAGCCCATCCGATTATGGAAGTAAGTGAGGCAAGGACGGCAGCGGCTGTGGAGAAAACGAGTTCTGTTCGGTTGCCTACACGAATGATGTCTGCGTGTTCGAAGATGTCAAACCATGTGAGAAGACAGAAAATTAGGCCCGCAAGGCCGTATATAGATAACTGCAGGAGATCAGGAAATGAAAAGTGTGGAAAGGAAAAGGTACTGACTGCAAGATTGGCAATGAAGAGTGCCCATTTGAACCTGTTCCAGTGCATGTGAGGACGGGTGTGACCACCTTCTTTGCCACCGAACCAACCACCGGTGACGCCGTCGTAGTCTTCATCGCCTTCTGCGGGCATACGTGCCTCACCACTCTTGAAGGCCTCCCTACCGCCGCCTCTCTTGTGCATGGCGGGATGGTCACCATTGGCCTTCCCTGGTCTACGTCTGCGAGGAGTAGGAGAGAGCAAGCCAGAAGCAAACTTGTTAGGTAGATAATTGACGGAAAGGGAGACGTCCTTTGAGAGGGTGGTACTCTCCGCGCGGGGAGATGGTGGGGCGGAAGAAGATTCATCAGCGACGAAGAGAGGGGTGGGGGGCTCAAGGGGAAACTGCATGTCTCCAATGATTGGCCTGGTAGAAGGGGCGAGTGAATAGGACGACCGGGCGTGAGAGGTGAGAGAGGAGGGTCGACGGATGTGGCTGGGGAAGCGATTAGTATGTGGCTGGGAGCGCAAATTAGGATGGTGTCGAGTAAAAAATAAAGGAGGAAAAGACGGTGGATTGAAAGATTTTTATATATAAAGAGGAGTACAAGCGAAGATTAAAAATACAACTTACCCGCTAAAACTTGAATAGTCCAACATAGCCAACCTGCACACTAGTACATACTTACTCAATTACCGTTCCAGAAAAATGTGGCATAAACGTTACCGTACAGTATTTGACACGTTTTCTCGTATCAAATCTTGAGCAATGTCGGTTAGAATCCTGAAATCACGTACGTTTTGCCGCAGACGAATAACGTCGTCGTGGAGTTCCGACTCGGCACCACGCCACCTAGTGCACATGCGCGACATGTCACATTTCATTAAACGCGTGACTGACGCGTCACGTCTCTCCTCAATGTACGACTCGACACGTTCGCTAAAACGTCAGCGCACTCTCCCCATATCAGCCTCGCCGACACCGAGATCCTCGTCACTCACCCCACCTCCAGACTCTCCAAAATCATACCCAACTCCAGCACTCCGCCCGCTGCCTCCAGCAATCCTACTCCTTGCACTTCCAGGACTTCTGACCCTTCCTCCTACTCATCCAGACTTTGGCTTTTCACTCTTTCTCTCACTGCGCTCATTGAGACAATGTTTAGCACTGCCTGGTCTTGCCCCTGATATAGAATGTCGTGCTTGGACAAGTCTGGCCGAAGTCGGCATGAGAGTCATGGAGAGTGGCTTTTGCTCGCAAGAGGGAGGATGTGACTGGGCTGTAGGTATTCATTCAGAGGTACTACAAGTTTTTTTTGTCGTTTGTGCATGCTGACAAGTGTTATACAAAAGGCCGAGAAAGCACTTGGCAAAGGTCTTCTCATCGCACAAAAAGTCAGTCTCTCCTTATTTTTTTGACATAAACAATTGACCCTACCATTGAAATTTAGCACCCTTCACTTCGGCCGCTTCGCCACCACCTCACACTCCTCCATGCTCATTTTGCATTCACTTTTCCTTCCTCTTCCACATCGCCAAAATTCGCACGTGCCATCCTCAGACGCCTCATCGCATCATTTGTACCCTCGGATCCTCCAGGCACCGTATATGATGCACACCTAGCATTAATCACCCAGATTATTACACTGCCTCCTTCACCTAATACTGCTGCTAATACCAGCCCTGCACCACTAGGGGCCCCCGCCCTCCAAGCAACACTGACTGCCATAGATACTCTCATAACTCTCGCACGCAAAAACCACCACTCCCAAATTATTGCCCTCGCTCACGTCATCAGGTTGCGCGTCCTTCTTCGTGCAAGTGCATGGGCCCAAGTTGGGGCTGCACTCGATACAGCGGAAGTCGTGCTTGGTCTGATGTTCGACAAGAACGGCAAAGTTAAGAATGACGAGGGTCATATTATGGCGATGAAAAACAACAAACCTGATGATGCACTTCCCCGTTGGAATTCTATAACTGCCCACGACGTTAATGCTTTGTCTCGCGAATATTCTCAAGTGCGCATCACCTCCGACCAGTCAAATGTGGAACCAAATCAAGAGGAGGAAAACACGCAATCGGATCCTGCTCATGCTTCTCTGGTCATTCATACACTCATCTCCGCTACCATATTTTTTACTTTCTCCGGAAACATTCGTGCAGCCGAGCAAAGGCTCGCCGCGCTCCACGAAATTGTTGATAGTGGAGCACTCGAGGGGTTCAAGGATGGTATCGTCCAGGTATGCTTGCCGTCTCTCATTTGCGTTTCTCTCTCCTTGGGTCCTAACCATGCAACTTGTATAGATCGCTCTCCCACCCCATCCACCCCTGGTGGTCCATACCACCCACCCATTGATACTTCTCCCGCTCACGTTCCTCGTCAGCGCCACTGCAAAACGGGATCCAGTGGGCAGAAACCCAAAGAGAAGGCTCTGGGCCGAAGCAGCAATCAACATTCTCAATACTGCAAGAGAGGACATCGAACGTATGTTATATTTTGGTCGTGCCGTTAATCACCATTGCATTGATACTGACGCTCATCCATCTTCAGTGCCCCTCTGGGCTTCCCTAGCAGACAGAGACGAAATTATACAGCGCACAGTAAAACTCACAGCCGATCTTTTATGCGAGCTTGTCGCGGTACGTTCAATTACATATCACAATCTCGTATCCATTGTTTTATCCTAAAACATAGATATCGATCCAACGCTCCGAATTCGACGCTGCAGAAACACACCTAGACGCACTACTTACCCTAACCCACACACACGACCTCTTCCACTCATATAGCGCCCGCATCACCCTCCACGCCGCACATCTCGCGCATGCACTCGGAGACACCGAACGTGCAGGCGTATGCTATCGCGTCGCTAAATCTGTAGATGACGAACGCAATGCAGGCGCTGGGTATGTAGGCGCTGCTGCATGCGCTGGGGAAGCACTATTACGCATCGGACTACGTGCTCAGGCTCACGACGAGAATTCGAACCCTGGTGTGAATGAAGGCGCTAGTACTGACGAAAGCGACTGGTTGGATGCTGAGACGCATGCACTGGCTAGGTCTGCGATTCAGCGGTGCCATGGAATGGGAGGGACGCTTGAAGCAGTCGGGAAGGTGGTACAGGCAGCTGTGGTGGGTGCGAGAGGGGAGATTGTTGGTGCCAAGTGCGTCACTTCTTTATTTCACGCCAAAAATTTCAATAACTGACTTGTACTTACAAATTGATTCTTGGCACAGATCACACCTAAAATCTGCGCTGTCTTTATCAACCTTAGCAGGCGAAAACCATCTCCGCGCGTTGCTCCTCGCGCAAGTGGGCGCACAGTATATGCATACAGCACCTGCGCATGCGATGGAGACGTTGGCAGTATGCGAGACGCTTGGCGCTGGGATGGGCGCGAAGCAGAAGGATGTGGATGGCGTGAAAGGTGGAGGTAAAGGAAAGGAGAAAGAGAGAGACACGGAGGGTAGCGATGGCTCATTAGGCAACGCCCCGCTTCGCCTCTGGGTCGGTGAACGATTTCTCGGTATGTTTCCTTTCTTTTATGTAGTTCAGTGCTGACAGACCAGCACAGAGATATTTAAGCGCGCAAATAAGCCGCACCGAGTGGCAAAGCAGGGGGTGTATAATGCTATGTATCGGGGTGCGGTAGAAGGGATGATTGGGAGGGCGAGGTGGCCTTCTGCGGTGGAATCTGATCATGGTGAAATAGTGCCTACCAACTTCGGGGAAGACGTCAAAATGCAGAGTCTGGACGCAGATCAGGATGTCGAGATGTAGGTGCCTGCACCTTTCGTTCGTTTGAGGGTGACGGAGGGCGACTTATCTTGGACGCTGCAGTTTCCGGCTGACTGGACTGACCTTGCTAGAAGCACTTAAAGTTATTGATACTCGCAACATACTCCACGTCTGATCACATAAAGTTTGCACTCCCATCGTATAGCATATCAAGCAAGTATTACATACAATAACACAGGCACCCTTGTAGAATAACGCCAAAGTCCAAGTTTTTCAAGTATAATCATTGCATTATGGCTGGCTTACTCGAGCATTGGGATATCTTCCGCCGTAAGGTAAGTAGCACTCGAGAGGTAAGGTGTAATTCAATTCAATTGATGGGCAATATGACTCAACTAGCGCAACTTTTCAGCCACGCAGATTACATGATAGACTCGAGAAATAAATGATACACATCTATATAGCTGTTTTTCACGATGATTATCACAGTTTCGACGCTTGCCGCAGGAAGAGACTTGGAATTCGATAAACTATCATGGTATCCTAGTCATGATCTAAATATTATCACAACGCATTAATACCTTCCGCTCGAAATGCTTTTGAACGTTCAACGCCGTCCCCTGCTTGTACTTCTTCCCTCAGGCCCTGGGCTTCAGCTCTGCGATGACATGGACTCATGTGCCAGTCAGTTATTTGCGCTTGAAGTGACGAGACGAGTGCTCAACGCGTAGTATGTGCCTTATCGAAACCAGCAGAATCGACGGGTCGATTGTTATAGTACCAGGGACACTTACCTGCACGATTATTGGGCTCTGCAGAGCACATCCGCTGTGCAAAATATATGAAGTACAATCCCGTCTATGAATCCAGTCGAACGCCACAGGCTTTAGGAGATAGGAAAAACATTGTGCCCCATTACGCCCCTTCAAGCTCTTGAAATCAGCACATGTTAGCTCAATGTCGACATCCATTGCAACTTAAATCATGAAATACAGGTAGCAAGATGTCATGGCCCATCTTGGCTACGTATAACAGTCAAAGTTCGTAGTACAAAGAGGTATACATGCACCTTGGGTATTAATCGATGCATCCACGAGTTACATCAGACAAGTTCTGCAAATCCTACCCTCGTGTTTGCGTAATCAAACACCGAATAAACGTTCTGAAGAAAAACATCGCCGATGATCGTGAAATCTACAGTGAGTACTATGAGCAACATCGTCTTGTCCAAGATACCACTACGCACCCATTTCTGAAGACGCAGCAATCCCTGCTAAGCAGTCGCTGGAAAGAACGTCTGGCCCGAGGTTGTACGTCTGCGCAGAGACTTTGAAGGCACGTCTGCCGAACGTGAATGTAGGCACGGTGGAATTGATGGTATCGCACGGGACTGGATGCAGATGTTGATCAAATTGGAAATCGTGGAAGAAATAAGAAGCTTACTTGTCCAGTATGTATCCGCGCCCTCCGTGTGGGCCGTAGCTCCAGATATATTTGCGTAGTAACTTTGTGCGATTGAATAGGACGTGATGATGAAAGTGGTCCCGGTATCAATGATGACAGTAGCGGCTTGCGACTCGACGACCTCCTGTCCCAACCTCGAAATGACATCCATCTCTACCTGCCAATAGCCTCTATCCGTCACAGCAACATAAGTGAGTGTATCGGAGTGGTAGAGATCAGTATTTGTTCCTCCGATGACCATTTCGCTATCTCCTGGAGTAGTAGATAGCTTGAACCCAAAGACGCTTTGTGGCAGTTTGCCACTTTCGTCCAGCGTTTGGAACAGCGGAGATCCCTCGAACTCTGATATTTCGCTGAATGCCAGACCGGAGAGACCGTCAGGGGGGAAAGACCCGTCCTTGCTGAACTCTGGCGAATATATCCATGCGGCGCCAACAGTCTGATCCTTGGCCTGACAAACCATATTAGTAGAAATAAAATGAACACGTGTGATAACCAACTTCGTAGCCCCCAACAAAAACGTCATCGACGTACTCATCGCCTGCTGTCTCCCCAGCGCCGTACGTCAGCACGAACGGTTGACCAGAATCTTTGGCAGACGAAGATGCAGCAGGGTCGTACTGTGTATGGCCAGCACAACTAACACTGCACTCGGTAGATGGAAGGACTACGCAAATATTGCTGTCAGCACAGAGATAAATAAATAAATTTCTGAGACTTACATAGGTCTGAGCTGCCAGTATCGAACACCACTTCAGAATGTCGGTGTTATACGTATCACATTGCAGAGTAAATGAAACTAACCTGTAAATGTTTTTGGGGGCGTGCCCACCTCGATCTCGCCGTACCAGAGGTCTGCATTGTAGTTGACAAGGGATACGTTTCCATTCCGCTTTGCAACTGAGTGAAAGTCGAAGCGACTACTCAGAGGGTGGGGAGACCCAGTGTTCCGTTGGTAGGCTCCCATAGTAGTACTGTACTTACTAGTTGGCGTCAGGCTGATGAATTTAATGAAAGAAAGAATTCCAGACATACCGAGATACAAAACCCAGCTGTTCCCACACAGTGCTCGGATCAAACACTTTGGAGAAGTTGGCAGCATTTGACCTGGAGTTGAGAAGAATGTGTTGTGTGCGACCCATATCAGAATGAGCATTTGGCGGAGGAGTGGGTGACCCGACAACTGCTACTACAAAAAGCGCACATCGGATTGCAGCAAACATCATTTCGTAGGTGTATCAGGTTGGTGGTGTAGAATGAGAGGAAACGCAACGACCAGTTTTTAATGTGTGTGTCGAGAAAGCCGCAGTCATCGCGCCTGAGCATGAATGCAAGCTTTCAGTTTGAACTGAAGGTAACTTGGAGTCTTAGACTTGATCCAAATTGATGGCGTTGCTAGAAGTCACGTGATTCATATCGGGCAGGTCGGGCAGCTGTCACAGCGGGGAAACTAACATCATTTACCGCGCCAGTGAAATTACATTCGAAAGGTAATCCACTCGAGTGCTCTGGAAGACTGGAACGCTCTATGCTAGGTCTGGAATGGTCTAGCCAGGTCCATATCTGCTTTTGATTGAAATCTTGCAAGAGGTGAAACGTTGAAACCCCCGATCAGTACTAGTGTGGTTGCTCGCCTCCTTGCAATCATAAAAAAGGTACGACCCGCGAATATTAATGATCGAGTAACATTATACTAATACTATAGCTACCCCCAACTCAGAGTTGGTTTCAATGTCACTATCGCACGTCTACGAGGCGTCAACATCGAATTATATGTAACGCGTGCGGCCAGGTTGGGATGGTTTCTATCCCCTCATGGTGGCGAGATATACATCGAGGTATTTGAGAGTCTTTTTTCCGAGCAATCAATGATTATTCGCTTCCAACTGCTCCGATCTGTCACGCCTGGACCAGTTATAAATTAAGATTTTTTTGAAGTTGATTTTAGCATTGAATCATATTTTATCACCCGGACTAATAGTTCAAGTTGTACAATGAGACATATCCTGGCAGGTTTGGTGCTCTCGAGCGCGCTTGTTGCCCGTGCGTGGGATGGGCAACCAACTCACATTTACGGTGTTAATTTGGGTTCATGGTAAGCGCTACTCTATGCCTCCGACCGACTGTTTAACTCAAGTGGTAGCGCAGGTTAGTCCTAGAGCCTTGGATGCTTCCTCAAGGTGATAAACCAACGAACTCGGCAAATACGTGTTCACTGAACAAGTTACTCTAGAGTGGTTGGATATGGGTGGACAGTCATGCGCTGATGATTGTTGGACATGCATTGCAACTGAGTCGTACGTTCCAGTTCTCCACTGTTCGTATGTGAAATTTAATTGTTCTGCGATAAAATAGGTCATTTGCACAGGCGTATCCAGACACCGTCGACACTACATTCGCTCAACACTGGGACACATGGTTTACGCAGGACAATGTCAATACGCTGAAGGCGGCTGGTATTAACACCGTCAGGGTTCCTGTGAGTCGATTCCAAGGTCGTTGCGAACTTGGCCAAACTAACGTTGGACCATTCGATCTGCTTTTCCTTTCATGCGTTATGCATCGCGTTCATTCATAGCTGGGATATTGGATTGTGGAGGCCTTAGTCGATAGGTCTCACGAATCATACCCTCGGGGAGGTCTCAAGTATCTGGTTAGAAAAGGTTTCTCCTGTATTTCAATTCTCTAGTTAAACTCGAGTGTGTAGCGTCGGGGCTTAGGCTGGCTGAAAGATGCTGGGATCCAAGCGATTCTGGATCATCATGCATTACCCGGGGTTCAAACGCCTGCGCAAATGTTCACCGGAAAGTAAGTTCCCATTTGCATCCTATCTGTTCTGTACTGAGATTGATTTTTATCAGTTGCACTTCCGATGTTCAATTCTACGTGAGCCATTTCGCAGCCGGTAAAAGCAATAACTACAAATCCTTACATACAGACTCCATACAACTACCACCGTGCACTGGTGTGGACAACGGTCATGACTGCGCTTTCTCACCTGGACCCTGATTTTGGAAGTGTCTTTGCGATCGAAGCAGTCAATGAACCCATGATGAACGCGACTCAAACACCTCACTATGGCGCCTGTATGTGTCATTTATCATTATTTTATTTGTACCCTCATGATTTCTGAATTTCCTACAGTCCAAAGGAACTTCGTCCAGGTGATCCGTGCAGTTGAGCTCACACTCGGAATATATGTGCCATCATCCAGTTTATCGCTATCGGTACCACTGTCAGTCTCGAACAACTTCACTGCTGCACTGAGTGCGACATCTTCAGCAACCATATTCCCAGTGGAGGTGCGAACGGCACTTGTAGAAGCCGTTCCAATTTTACTAGAGATTGGAGTGGCGTCAGGTTTGCAGACCATATTCGAAGCCTCACCCTTCAAGCGGTCCTGTACTTCATTGGTGGCCAAGTGAGTTCACCACAGGTCCTTGCTAAGATACATCGATGATGGCATGGATAGCTTCATGGATGTGAACTGGCAGTCCGATAATCCCTCTAATCCAGCTGATGTGGCGATTGGTTCCCAAGCTTATGACAATCATTTGTATTACTCGTGAGCACGCAGTTGACTACATCAAGTTCTCATGGTTTCTTAATGTTCTCTTTACAGGTTTGGTGTATGTCGCATGCACGTAGCCTATTGCTTCGCATTAACAAATTTATAGGGAGTTGCGGCTGCTGACCCAACGTCTTACTTGATCAGTATTTGCAGTGCGTCTTCTTCGTCAGTTCGCCAATGATGCACTCACTTTTGGTAAAGATCTTTCACGTATCCAGGCTGACGCAGCGGTCG